CTTTTCAGCCTCTCGTCACCTGCTGCAGCGTCACTGAGCGCTTCGCTCCCCACTCTCCCTCCCGACATGCTGGTCCTGCAGCCCGCACCTTCTCCGCGGGTGGTAAGCAACGAAGTCGGAGTTAGCTGGCTACCAGCTCCTGTCTCTCCTCTTCCTCGGTGGCTCCTATGACCCCTCAGCCCTCTACTGAAGACTTGCAACGCTTCCTTTAAGCCTCGAGTGCACTGTGCATCCCTTTACAGCAGACTGCGATAAGCACAGTAAGAACCACCTGGTCTTATACCTGTCTTTCCCATCACCTCATCGCACGTCAAAGTCGGCCATTACGTAAGAAAGAACAAAGAGCTGATGCGTTTGAGTTATGTGCTGGAGACACATGTTCACAGTACATGTGCCACCACTACACAGAGACGGTGTCCTCAGCTGAGCCAACGGGATAGAGCGTACAGCACTGCAGAGGAAAGGAGACCAGGAGCACAGGACAGCATGAGCTGCAGTACATGAACTGTTGACCTGTGCAGACTGAACGCTTGAATGACTGGGCACTATTGACACTTTGGATTGTGATCAGAGTTGTAAGAGCCCCCAATAAAATGATTTTTTTTTAAAAAAGGTAAGTATCGTATATACTCGAGTACAAGCTGAGCTGAATATCGGCCGAGGCACCTAATTTTACCACAAAAACTGCAAACAAATGTGCTGAACAACTCAGCTGATACACGAGTAGATACAGTACCACGGGCTGCCAGAGGAGCAAACCGATCAGTCTGAGGAAAAAAGAAGCCAGCATGCACCGTGGAGCCAGGGCAGTGAGACTGCCTCGCCTGCGCTGGGCCTGCTGTGAGGAGAGGACTGCGCCTGGAGAAGGGCGCCGGGCCTGGGGAAGCAGAGGGTCAGCCCGGGAGGCAGACCTGGACAGGATGTCTGGGCCGTGGCTGCAACAGCGAGCTCCCTCACAGCACCCTGGAGACAGCGCAGGGCTGAGCGGTGCTTCCACTGGTCGCTCAGGGGCGGCTGTGAGTCAGAGCTGATGCGAGGACACAGACAGCAACACAGCAGCCACACAGGGAGAGGGGACATTACAAACGCCACAACAATGCTGAACCCAGGGGTGGGAGGGACGCCAGGACCGGGATGACGCACAGGGAAGTTCGGGGGTGGGGGTGGGGGTAGGGAAGCGGTGACAGTTTTCCTTCTTGACCTAAAGCACAGCTCCAAGAGTCTTTGCCTAGAAAAACTCAAGAAGCCGTGTGTGTTTTGTGCATTTTTGTTTCATTTTACAATAAAACGAATGTATTTTCAAATGGTCTGCAATCCTGGCTCCGATGAGTCATCACCATCTATGACATAAAGAGGCTGCCTTCATCCCTCCATCTTTGCTGGCACCCCATCTTTGTTACCTGCTGTCCGACTCCCACGCCTTTCCCCAACTCTCCCACGGGCACCAGAAACATCCGCATTGTAACTGCCTGCTTACAGACACGCTCCCCAGAACACGGAGAGGATCACAGCTTCCGTCACAGCCTCTACATTGCCTGCTACAAAGAGGTTCTGCAGTAGACACATACTAATAATACTGGTAAATAAATAGAAATGAAAATAAATGTCAGACTCTGGCTCGAGCCCATGTCTTCCCTTAAGACTAGTCTATGTAGCTCCGCTCACTGACTTGGACATGTTGCCCCTTCTAGGTCAGCACGGCAGCCTGCTCAAGACGGGACGGGCTCAAGGACATGTAAGAGAGGCCATGAAGACAGTCGGGTCATCTCAAGGTGCCACTTAAACGCTTCAACTCCTCTAACAAATGCGTGAAAAAGAAAGTGATGACTGTTCACACCCAACAGAATACTTAAATGGCTGCACCCATGATCTGATTGACACACTGCAATCATGGTGAACGAAAATTATATACAATCTCATGGGTTGGGGTGGGAGGGATATATTCTAAAATAATCTAAGCATCAGACTTTTCATTTCTAAAACCCTTGCTGGAATGGAAACTGGGAGGCTTGCCTGATAGTCTAGGGAGATAAATGCAACTGGAAGGGACCCCATGGCTCATCAGCTGCAACCTCTGCCGCAAGCCTGAAGGCCCTGCCCACACTCCAGGAGCAGGTCAATACATGTTTGAGTATCCGGGGACAAAAGACTAGACAACCCATGCCCAAGTGCCACCCCTGCCCTCCACTGTTCCATCACAGGAGACTCTTAACGATGACCACTTAATAGTAGTTGGGACAATTTCATGTCAACTTAAATACGTATGAGAGCTGAGTGCAGGGGTGGAGACTGAAGATGTCTCCCTTGGGGGTGTGGCCTTCTCACAAGGAAGAAACTGGGACCTTTCCTCTCTCTCTGACACTTCACCTTCCTCCTGGCTGGAACTTCACTGGGACCCCTCTCTGTGTTGGCCTCCAGGGCTGCCCCGTGGGCCAATCAACCCCGAGAGCTGCTGGTGCCCTGCCATGCTTCCAAGGACCTCGGATCCACAAGGCTCTGCCCCCGCCTGCCAGTGATCTGCCTGCTTCCTGCCTGACCCTTCTGCGTCATCAGCCTGCCACCCGTTAGTCTGGAGAGGGCCCGGCAAGCAGTGGACCCATGGGCTTGAGCTGGACTGGCTGGGGTGCCTTCATGACGTAGCTGCTTCTCGGCATAAAGTGCTTTCCTGAATGCAGAGGGTGTCACTGGCTTTGTTTCTCCAGACAAGGCAGCCAAGCACACCACTGGAGAGCCGCAGGACTCCTCTTTCCTGACACCTCTCTTGTCAGGGGTGACTGAGAACCCACTGGGGCGGAATCAGGCTTGGAGTGCTACCTCCTCATCACCCTGGGTTTAACAGTGTCATACACATGCAACGCTGGTTTTTAAATCTGCTTCAGATTCTGTCCAAGGTCTCATGATAATCACTACATGTAATAAGAAGGGGGCTTCAAAAGCTCATCAAAAAACCCCTTGGTCTTTTCATTACATTTTTCCACAAGCTTTTTTAAAGCCTTCGCCTACCTCGCCCCCATATGGCTGTGACTGTCTCATGCAGACTCCGCTGAATACAGTACAAACCCGGTACTCGGACTGCATCAGTACCTGACACCATCGGATTTCAACACGAAACATCGAGAAAATTTTGCATCAGAGCTTAAACAAAACATCGGAATCTGACCCAACGCACATGATTTTTGTAAACAAAAGCAGTTGTATTCAGGTCCCGTGGCCGTTAGTTGGCCTTGTTAGTACACGTTGTTTAAACCTTTTGGGGCTGTGTTCCAAGCGGTTTGCTACACTTTTCATAGTTTGTTTGTTTTTTTAATCGTTTTATTAGGGGCTCATACAACTCTTATCACAATCCATACATCCATCAATTGTGTAAAGCACATTTGTACATTCATTGCCCTCGTCATTCTCAAAACATTTGCTCTCCACTTAAGCCCCTGGCATCAGCTCCTCATGTTTCCCCTCCCTCCCAGCTCCCCCTCCCTCATGAGCCCTTGATAATTCATAAATTATTATTTTGTCATATCTTGCCCTGTCCGACGTCTCCCTTCACCACTTTTCATAGTTTTTGTGGCTTTTTGTACTGCTTTTAGATAAAAAACATGGGTCCTAAGAAATAATTTTTTGAAAATAAGGAACTGGTTAACCGTGTTATCAATATTGTTGGTGATAATTTAGCACTTTTAAAAAACGGTTAAGGAAACACCAACAGCAGACCACATTAGATAATCTTTTTTTTTTTTTAAGAGGAAGCCAGCCAGGTCCTAGTGGAAACAGGCAAAGACGGGAAACGCTCCAGAAAAGCAGCTAGCTTTGATTTGATGGAAGGGGATCCCCTTCCAAACAATGACTCTCCCATCCCTCCTCTCCACATCTGTGTCTGCAGATCCAGATCCTCCCCAGTCTCAAGGCATGGACCATACTGTAGTTGCTAAACACTTTGTTAATGCTGTGTTTCTTATTTAAATTATATTATTTCGCTCTGAACTTATTTACTTTGAAATTTCTGTGTAACGTTTCGTATAAAAAGGCAGGTTAGGTTAAAACTTGGTGGTCAAAATGGATTAATATAACATTTTCAGTTATTTCTGATGGGAAAAACTGATTTGGAATTCAACTGCATCGCATCTCGACGCTCCTTCTACAATGGATTAGCATCGAGGTCCTGGGTTCAACTGAAGTGTTCAGTCACATCTGAGACTGTTCTTAACTTTTTTCTCATGTTCTTGACAGCTGGCCATCAGAGACACTCGGCATGGCAGCCTGAAGTGCTGACTCCCAGAGCCACCGAATCTGCTAATAAACTGGCATTTCTACACTTTTGCTGTCTCTAATATGGAGCCTATCAGCTAGGCCTTCATGTGTGGGATTACCAAGTGTCCTCAAGAAAGCAAGGGAAACCGCACTAAGAAGACAGCAGCAGCAGCAGAACCGTACACTTGACTGTCTCAGGAATACAAACTCCGGGTCCCCAGAGAAGGAGGCAAGAGGAGAAGGAGACCATTTCACACCATTATACAAACTACCACTCAGATGAGATTCAAATCCAGACCAAAAAACAAGGCATCATTTTCTTATTGGCAAACCGAAGGCACAAGGTCTTTGATCACAGTCAGTCAAGGGCAGGGGAGAAGGTGTCCAAGGAGGGTTCCTCCAGGGCCATGAGCTGCTTGAAAGCCAGTCTTACAAGAAAACAACTCAAAAGGCAGCAGCAAAGGAATCCTACTCTCTCTGCCCGCAGAGCTCCACCTCCTGAGTCAGAAAGGAGAGGTGGGGCTTCATGGAAAGACCTGGCAAGGCTGCTAGCTAGACGACCATTCCTTCAGAACTGCTACCAACAGGATGCACACTCCTCAACTCCTCACTCTGTTTGTGGGCAGGAGCACCGAGGAAATGGAAGGATCTCTCAGACATGAACACAGCTCATGGACAGAAAGAAGAGTTCAAGTGCTCAACGAAAGTAGACCGGGAGAAACCAGTCGAATGAAAACAACAAAACCGTTACTTACCAAAACAGAACTCTGCCTTTGGCCTGAGCTTGGTGGCATCGCTCACCTGGTGGGAAAGAGAGAGATGAGTGGCTCACTTACATCGTGCAGGACTTCCCCCACCACACACACACACACACACACACACA